CTCGAGTCAAAAAGTTTGCCCACCCCTGGTCTAGGCAAAGCTACAAGACTCTGAGACTCTATCTCTCTATCTTATAATCTGAATTCAGAAGAGAGTGGCTACCATAGGATGCATGTTAATATGTTTATCTGAATTGACAAATGAAGTCAGACTTTGTCAGAAAATAAGTCTGATATGGTTAGTAGGATTGACAATGAGAACTCAGCCAGCCAACTAGATTATACGGAGGACATTTTCCAAAGTTGAAAGAGCCAAATATGGAGCTCCAAGGATTTGACAAAAATATAATTAAAGTACACAATACCATTTAGAACCTTATGGTCAAAGAAAATTAATTTTTTTATTTATACTAAAAATTTATTGTGGAAAACTCATATATGTGATAAAAGACTCTCAAGCACAAAATAATCATATTAAAATCATATGAAGCTTGGGATGGATATAAATTCCAGAACAAAAAGGACTTATATAAAATCTACTACTGTTAAAGGGTATTTATTCATGTATTTTTCAACAGATAATGGTATGTATCAAGTCATTACATTCTTGAATTACATTCAAATATAGGATATTCTAGTTTCGTTTTCAAATTTTTATATTTATAATATGTCAAAAACCATATTCTTTGCAATTATTTAACCTTATGATATCAACTTAAAAATATGTGAAGGGAGCCCTGGCCAGGCAGCCCAATTCATTGAAGCATCATCCCATACACCTAAAGGTTTCAGGTTTGATTCCCAGTCAGGGCACATACCTAGGTTTCAGGTTGGATCCCATGCCCTACAGGAGATAACCGATTGGCATGGATGTTTCTCTTTCTCTGCCTGTCTCTTATTCTTCCTCTCTCTAAAAACACCCTTCAGTGGATTTTTCTTTTTTTAAGTGAAAAGGGATACATCGTTTTTCAAAATTCTCTTAGGAGGTATGTGAACAAAAATGTTTTAAGACGACAGCTTTAGTGGACAGCCATGGTTGCTATACTTTTGCCATTAATGTAAACATTAAGCATATAAACATAAAAGCAATTGCTTTTTCAACTATTTACAATTAAACCCTTTAATGTAAGAATACCGAATATCCTAGGGTTTCCTGCTACCACCCATCCTTAGTATATTTAATCCAGCAAAGAGATATCACAATGAACTCACTTCAATGCTGGAAAATTGGCTATTTTTCAGACCCTCGTTATTAGTGGGTGATCTTTTTCTGCCTGTCGATGTGATGAGTAATAGTGGCAATGTGGCAGTAGTTTAGTGGTTAAGAGCTAGACTTGAATTTGAAACCTAGCTTTATCATTTAACTAGAGGCCCGATGCACAAAATTCGTGCAAGAGTAGGCCTTCCTTTCCCCAGCTGCCGGCACTGGCTTCCCTCCGGCACCCAGGACTCGGGCTTCCATGGCAGCCTCGGCTTCCTCCGGAAGGACGTCCAGTCTAATTAGCATATTATGCTTTTATTATTATAGATAGCTAGATGACTTAGGCATGTTACTTGATTCCCCTTTACCTCTGGTTCTTTTTTTTTTTTTTTTTAATTGATTTCAGAGAGTAAGGGAGAGGGAGAAAGAGATAGAAACATCAATGATGAGAGAGAATTATTGACTGGTTGCCTCTTGCATGACCCCTACTGGGGATCAAGCCTGCAACCGGGCATGTGCCCTTGACTGGAATCGAACCCAAGACCCTTCAGTCCACAGGCCAACACTCTATCCACTGAGCCAAACCAGCTAGGGCTACCACTGGTTTTTTATTTTTAAAATAAGGCTGATAATAGTACCTACCTCATAAGATGATTAGTACATTTATATAAATTTCTTAGAACAATGCTTGGTGCATAATAAGTGCTTTACAAGTGTTAACTATTATTAGTGAAATTGCTGAAGACATCTGTGACACCAACACCACTCATTCATTCATACTTTCATCAGATAATAAATATTAATATTTACAGTATGCCAGGCACTGTGCCAGACGATAGGAATTCAAAGATGATGGAATATATTACCTGCTTTCCAAAGTTTCATACCCTAGTGGGGAGGACAAACATTAAAGCAACACAAGAACATTAACAAATAATTGTTTGTGGTTGAAAATTGTTTCATTGAGGTTTGAACTAAGCACTGTAGAACTGCAGAGAAGAAAGAAGATCCCAGAGAAGACTTTCTAGAGAATGTGACTTTTAATTTGGAGCCTGAAGGATAGAAAGAAGCAGAAGGATAGATAAGGAGGAAAAGGGCATTCAAATTAGAAAGCTAGCCGTACATTTAAGAGTCTCAATATTTTTTCTATAAAGAGCTTAGAGAGAATTAAACAGACATTTCTATGATCTTCCACCACTTTAAATGCATCTCTAACTTATAACTGGAATAAAATTATGTCCCATTTTTCTCTACATGCCATGCCCCAATGTTTATACTTTATCTTACTCTTTTCTCGTATGTATAATTGCAGGTGTTAATTTTCCAGACCAAACTGGGTACATTTTTCTCTGCATAAGCAGTTGCTGCAGTTTATCTGAAAGATTTTTTAAAGTGATAGTAGAAGCAATATTTTAATAAAATAAATTCCTTATAAGAAGGAAAAGTAGTGTAACAGCCTAGTTTACAACCATAATTAGTCAATTTAATCTGGCTTTCTTATCAATAATGCAAACAACTCCAAGCCAAATAACTTTGTATATTATAATAAATAACTATAAAGAGCTTTAAAAATAATCTTCATGACCACTGCTTATCCCATGAACAGAGATGACACATACCTGTGTCTGAAGGACGTAAAAAGTCTGTGTCACAGGTGAAAAAGGTCTGATGGTCCTGAGCTGACAAATTCATGTCATAGTATGTAAGTGGCTCTTTACCAGTCACCCAAGTGAGTCTTTACCAAAACAAAAGAAAATATGTAAATCAAACATGAGAGAGTATTGATTTGCTATAACAGACACTATTTAAAATTCAAACATATGCTGCTAAAAATTCCATTTCAGGATGTTTTAAAAGCTTATTATAATGAATAAAAAAGAGATAACCTATACAAACTACTTAGAGTAGAACAGAACATAAAAAATGAAAAGGGAAAGGCTAGATTATTCAACAAACACTGTTTCAAAATTGGATTTGAAGGGATAAGACAATTTGCCTCAGATATATACCTTTTTAAGTATACTTCAGTACATTTTCAGTGAGTTAGAATGATTAAAAGTAAAAGTACAAAGAAAGAAAAAAACAGGTTGATTTTCACTAGATATCAAGATGGTAAAGGGCTTTTAAAGCATAAAAGCAAAGAGGAACTTTTCTCAGATGTTACTAAATTAGAAATTTAAACTTTCATATTCCCCCGAGACTCACAATAGCACGTTAACAGATTGGCTAATAAATACATTTTAAAATGTGCAATCTCATTAGTCATTAACAAATAGCAAATTAAAACAAATAATTTTTACTTTCACCTATTAAATTGGCAAATATGTATATATTGTTAGGTGGAATATGGACTCACACATACTGCTGGTATCATGTAAATTGGCATTTATATTTCTGGTTCTAGAAATCAATTAGGCAATATCTATCAAGAATCTTAAAAATATTTACACCTACCTAGGGGATGGGTATACTAGTATATTATATTATACCATCCTCTCTACTTTTGTTTATTTTTCAAATTTTCCATAATCAAAATAAGATTAAAGGGAAGGGGAAAAAACTGTTCACACCCCTTGATTCAGTAATCCCAGTGCTACAAATCAACTCTAAGGAAATAATCATATATGTGGTTAAATATTTATGTAGAGAGATATCCCTCTACTGTAAATGTTAACAGTGAAATCTATGACCCAGATAGGCAAGCAGTAGAGAAGGTATGGTAAATACAAGTACTAAAAATCATGATTTTGAAGAAATTCTTTGGGAATTCCACACATTGTGATGTTGAAGTTTTGATTCTATACATGCATACAGAAGAGAGACTGGATGGAAATACTAATAGTAATTATTACTTAGTGGTAAAAAGAGGTGATCTTTACTTTCTTTTTCATACATCTCTGTTTTCTTCCCATTTCCTACAATGAATATACGTACATTTTATAATCTGAAGAAAAAGCACTTTAAAAGCACATTGTAAATATTATTTATATAAGTACTAAAGATGTTAAGTTATTTAATAGTATGAGTTGCCTTGTTATTTAACGTTTTTAGCTATTCTGCAAGAAATTATCATAAAGAGAAAAAGGAAAAGAAAATTCTTATTCACTTAACAGTTTTGCTATCCATTCTAAAACCATAAAAAATTAATTATTAACAATCTACATTATTCCCAAAATGATTTAAAGCAGTTAAAAATATAATGTATAATATACTATATAATAAAAGCCTAATATGCTAAGTGTCCGGTCATCTGGTTGGCCATTCAACCAATTAAAGCATAATATGCTAAGGCCGCTCAACCGCTCACTATGACATGCACTGACCACTAGGGGGCAGATGCTCCAACCAGTAGGTTAGCTTGCTGCTGGGGTCCAGCCGATCAGGACTGAGCAAGACAGGCCGGAAATGTCCTGGAGCCCTCCCGCAGTCCCTCCCCGGCTGGCCAACCTCCCGCGTTCCTCCCCAGCCCCGATCATGCACCGGTGGGGTCCCTTGGCCTGGCCTACGCCCTCTCACAATCCAGGACCCCTCAGGGGATGTTGGAGAGCCGGTTTTGGCCCAATCCCGCAGGACAGGCCAAGGGACCCCACTGGTGCATGAATTCGTGCACTGGGCCTCTAGTCCAGTGATGGTGAACCTTTTGAGCTCGGTGTGCCAGCATTTTGAAAAACCCTAACTTAACTCTGGTGCCATGTCACATATAGAAATTTTTTTATATTTGCAACCATAGTAAAACAAAGATTTATATTTTTGATATTTTATATATTTAAATGCCATTTAACAAAGAAAAATCAACCAAAAAAATGAGTTCGCATGTCACCTCTGACACGCGTGTCATAGGTTCGCCATCACTGCTCTAGTCAATAACATAAACTAGAAGTAAATTAAAAACACTAAGTAAAGTAAAAACTAGGATTGGGCCATAAAATGGAATCTGGAATGAGGCTAACATGAAATATATACACTTGCTAAGGGTTAGCTACAATATGACCACACAATTATTATCATTGCAATTTGGACTTTTATATTAAGATAAACTAATCATTCAAAGAAGCATACGTGTTCTTGATACTAAGAAAAGAAACTTCTCTTTAAAACCTTCATGAAGTAGACACTATAAAATATAACAAAGAATAGCCTAAAACCTTTTTTAATAAACACAGTGAGAAGTTCAAGGATCTGTCTCTTGCAGAATCCCTTAATACAGGCTAGTGGCATCTCTCATAAAAGCCTAGTTTTCACTTCCCAGGACTGACTGTCCTACACTATCAAGTCCTTAAGCACAAAGATTATTACTTAATCATTTAGTATCCCCATCATTTTACACAGTGCCCATACATAACAGACACATAACGTTTCTTGTTCAATGAATTAAATAACATGCCCAGTCTATCTCCAGGTAAAACACAGCCCTTCTCAAAATAAAAGTAAACTGCCCTAACCGGTTTGGCTCAGTGGATAGAGCGTCGGCCTGCGGACTCAAGGGTCCCAGGTTCGATTCCGGTCAAGAGCATGTACCTTAGTTTTGGGCACATCCCCAGTAGGGAGTGTGCAGGAGGCAGCTGATGGATGTTTCTCTCTCATCGATGTTTCTAACTCTCTATCCCTCTCCCCTCCTCTCTGTAAAAAGTCAATAAAATATATTTTTTAAAAATAAATAAATAAATAAAAGTAAACTATCTTTGGTCATAAGTTTCAAAAGATGTTTTCTCATTTAGTGTATAAACCAGGAGAGAAATGGATACAGTAGAGCATAGAAAATGGCAATATAAAATACAATATAAAAGTATTACACCCTGGACTGTGGCACAAATGAAATTCATATTCACATTCAGATTGATATTTTCTAGTGAATGTTCAAATAAATTTTGAAATCGAGTACATATGCACAGGAATATACTGACATTTGTAATTTTTTCTTAATCTTATAAATTCTTTGAAAAGGCTTTCAGCCATAAACCGGGGGTCAAATGTATACTTATTATGCATTATGAACACTATTATAATAAGTACTATCAAGATGCTGACAACTAAACTGCTAATCATTTTATCTTACTAGTATATATCAGTATCTCCAACTAAAAGGGCTATGATATAGTTATAAAAACAAGTGTTTCCATAATACTTTTACTCTAAAACCAATGTTGTAATTATACTGAAAGCAAAATGTATTACCTCCTATATTCTGCTCCTCTGAAAAGGTTTAGAGGGTTTCTCCATACCTTGCATTCTAAAAAACAAAGGAGAAAAGGGAGGAAGTGAGACAATTTAATCAAATGCTGTTAAACCTTAATTCGCCAACATTTATTGTATAGTCACTGTATACTAAGTACAGTGCTAGCCACTGATAGCACAAAGATAAGTAAGGCATGGATCACCCTACTGTCACGGAGCATACAATTAAATCTAGTCATTCCCTTATTTCTGTCTTCACAGCATTTGGTTCATAATTCAATTATAGCACTTACCATATTATAATGTGATTATCTGTTTGGTTTTAAGTTTCTCCCTTTTATTTCTTTTAAATGATTTATCGATTTTAGAGAGAGAGGAAGGGAGAGGGAGAGAAACATCGACGTGAGAGAAACATCGATCAGCTGCCTCCAGCATGCCCCCTACTGGGGAGGAGCCAGCCACCCAGGCATGTGCCTTGACCAGGAATCGAACTGCCGACCTCTCGGTACATAGGGAGGATGCTCAGCCAACTGAGCCACACCGGCCAGGGCCCTTTTATTTTTGTAATTGATTTTTGTTTGAGAGAGTGAGAGAGAGGAAGGGAGAAAGATAGAGAAACATTAATTTGCTATTCAACTTATTTATGCATTTATTGGTTGACTTTTGTATGTGCCCTGACTGTGGGGATTGAACTCACAACCTTGATGTATGGGGATGACATTCTAACCAACTGAGCTACCCAGCCATTATTTGCCTTTTGAATTGTGTTGACTTGAACTCAACCCTGAGAGTGAGGACTTAAATTTTGTGCCCAGGCACCTGACATACTTCACCCTAGTCCCAGTACTGCAAAATTGAGCTGATGGTATAAAATCAATGGTGGGTAAAACTGCTAGTACTTTAGCCCGAGTCAAGGCAGCGACACCAAATCATACTGGTCGTCATTGGATTCGTTACTGGCTAGCCCAGTAAAACAAGCAATACCAAGTATGAGGATTGTCCTCCTGGCCTAATCTCCTTCCTGCTGATTGGACTGTGGATATGATAGGTGGAGCCAGAGTGGCTGTCTTAGACCACAAGGCCAAACTGCATTTGGAGACGGCAGGCTAACAAAATAGGAGTCTGGGTCTCTGATGATCCTCACTCTCTAGATCGATATATACATGGATAGACAAACTTCTCTCTATTGTTGTGAGTTTCTATCTCCCACAGCTAAACACAACCTTAACTATACAGCTCTAAAGACTAACTATATAGCTCTGAAAACATTAGATAAGTAATCACCTGACACATTCTGTCGGCTGTTTTCACTTTCTCTGCTGCTGGAAAGAGAAGCTGGCTCTGACATGCTTCTTTCTGTTCCTCCCATCAATGGTCGCAAATGGTTTACCGACACTTGCTCAATAAAAGATGTACCATGTTTATGGAAGTACCACCATTCAAATATCTATGACAAACAGAAAACATCTTTCACTTAATACAGAACTAATAAGCAGATATGAGCTCAAATTAAAACATTATCTCAAGATGTTCCTTTAATTCAGCATTTTAAATGTACTCTCCTTCCAAAAAAATAAGCCAAATATAAGATTACCCAATAACATATGCGAGCAAAAGTGAAATACTTCATAGCTTTGTCATGAAATTTAGACAAGCTTAGGCAAAATGAAAAGAAATACATCTGTAAATAAAGCATTAAAAACAATAAAAAGGTTTAATCTATAGATTATGTTATATTACATTGTCATTTTATTCTATCTGTAGTATAATTGAAAAAAAAATAAGTTTGAAACAACTAGCATGATGGATTAGACTAGGTTTAGAATGCCCCCATTTGACTCCCAATTTTGCTATCTACTTATTAGCTTTGTGCTTTGGGCAAGTCACTTAACTGCTAACCTCTCAGAACATCAATGTCCTATCTACTAAATATGGTTAATAAGAATTATAAGTGTCCCTTGAGAAAAAAAGTACTATTCCAGTCTTTGACAGTATTATCAATGTAGGTTAAGGATCAGGTTGATTCCAATTTTGGACCATTTAAAAATCAGAATATTCACTTTTTTCTGTTTCCATGGTTTATCACTATTACAAAAAGAGGAATCAAAAGAAGCTCTTTGTGCTGAATTAGCAGAAAGTTTCACATTTGAACACTCCAACTTTCTCAACTCCCTTTGCCTGACTCTTTTGGGTTACAGCTTAAATGACACATCATTGGGGAACTTTTCCTGATTCACAAACAGAAAGCTGTACTCCCACTGGATCTTGTTATTATCCTTTGATAGTAATAGTTTCACTTGTAATAATTAAACAACTGATTTTGTTGCTATCTTTCAAGCACCCAAAGAACACTACCCCTTTAGGAAGGAGTAACACAATCGCACAGCTAGCTTCCTCATTTCCTTCCTTACTAAAGAATCACTATTTCAGTGAGGCCTTCCCCAACTTCCCTGTATAAAATGTCAGCCTTCTCCTCTGACACTTCATATGCCTTTTTCTGCTTCATTTTCTCCTTTAGCACTTACCACTAATAGTAAGAACATACTATTTGTTTTACTTATTTATCTTTTATTATATATTGCTTTAATATAATGTAAGCTCCACAAGGATTTTTTCCCGTTTTGTTCATTGCTACAAGCTCAGAAACACTGTGTGAAACCCTCTAGGCACTAAATTTTAAAAATGTCAAATGAATCAATGTCCATAATCACCTGTAGACCACATTTCGTGAGGACAGAGCTGTGTTTATCTGCTTACCATGGTATCCCCAACATCTAAAAGAGTGCCGAAGAGATAAAAGGCTACTTCTAAATATTTGTTAAATGAATCATCAATCAATCAGGGACTTTATAGATTAAAACTGTTCAAATGACTAGTAACTAGTTTTCTATATTCTGACTGTAAAATAACTTTAATACCTTCCTTCTCTTGTTTGTGGACCACCTTCCCTTACAAAGTCAACTGATAGACTATTCTCTACCCTGTAGCAGACAAATGTGCTGGTATTACTTTACTTAAAGAATAAACAAACATATCCACACTACTTAAGAGACTACAATCTCTTTAAAAACTATTTTGCTATGATCTGTGAGACAGAGAGAGAGGTATCAGTTTTTAAACCTTTAAGAATGTTATTTTTTGCTTCAGTAAACAACAGAACAAACATGTTAAAAAGTTGCCAAAAGTATGATGTCATTTTGTACACTGCAGCCCAATTACTCCATGGACCAAATGCTGTAACATTTATAGGACAGTGCTAGAAAATCAAGGGGCAGAATTTTTTCTATCATGCCACTAACGTCTTATGCTCAGTCTATAATGGCTTTTCCTGCTTTCTTTTACTGAGTTAGCAGGCAGTTAATCACCACCAAATATAGCCCCAGATTGGCTTCTTTTACTAAGAAATGGGATGAAACTTCTTTAAAACAACCAAACGAAATCACAAATCAGAAGTTATTCATGTGACAGAAAAGACAAGATTTATATTACATCAGTCAGGGACATTAATCATAAAGGCAACAATGACAAAATGTCTGTCCTTCACTATATGAAGTGTTGGCAGTTTTTTAATTAGTTAATATGTTAGTTGTTTTTATTCACCTTTTGAGTCAACTTCTTAACACAAATGAGCAATAATAATTGCTAATACTTACCAAGCATTGTGCCAAGTTCTTTACACGCATTCTCACAACTGATTTCAGAAAGAACATCTATTCCAGCTTTAAATAACTAGCTCTGGTTCACACCATCCATACTTGGTAGAGCTAGGATTCTTACTCAGGTTTACCTGACTTCAGAGGTTCTAACCATTACACAGACTACCTCTGAAACATACCACAGTGTATGTATATATGTAAGTGTGTGTGTATACACACAAGTTTGGTAAGTCCAGGTGGTGAAAGAAATTATAAACATAACCTTTGCTAATGAAAACTCATCAATTTTGCAAGAGTGATGACAAAATTTAACCTTTAAGATGTTTCCTAATTTTAAAACTTTGGTTTAGCCCTAGCCAGTTTGGCTCAGTGGATAGAGCATCAGTCTGCAGATTGAACAGTCCCTGGTTCAATTACAGTCAAGGGCATTGTACCTCAGTTGCAAGCTCGATCCCCAGCCCTTGTTGGGACATGCAGGAGGCAACCAATCGCCGTGTCTCTCTCACAGTGATGTTTCTGTCTCTCCCTCTTCCTTCCACTATCTCTAAAAATCAATGAGTAATATCCTCAGGTGAGGAGTAACAAAACAAAACAAAAAAAAACTTTGGTTTAAAAAGATCGTATGTATCCCTGCTGGATAGCTCAATTGGTTAGAGCATGTGCCAAGTTTCGGGTTCAATCCTTAGTCAGGGCACATGCAAGAATCAACCAATGAATGCATAAATAAGTGAAACAACAAATCGATGTTTCTCTTTTTCCTCTCTAAAAATCAATAAATAAATAAGATTTAAAAGATAATATATAACATATATATAAATTTCCCCTTATAAATCAGGAAATTAAGACTCAGAATTTAGCCCTAACCGGTTTGGCTCAGTGGAGAGAGCATTGGCCTGCAGACTGAAAGGTTCCAGGTTCAATTCCAGTCAAGGGCATGTACCTTGGTTGCGGGCACATCCACCTAGGAGATGTGCAGGAGGCAGCTGATCGATGTTTCTCTCTCATCAATATTTCTAACTCTCTACCCCCCTCCCTTCCTCTCTGTAAAAAATCAGTAAGATTATTTTTTTTAAAAAAGGCTCAGAATTTATGTGATTTGCCCAGTTATAAGCCAGTAAGTGGCAGAGTCAAGACTTAAAACCACATCTTCTAGTTCTAAAACCAATGCTTTTTCTATTACATCAGCTGTTTAAAGATCATTTTCTTTATTTTGACTCATACTGATTGACTAAATATGCTTAATTATGAATGGACTTTATAAATCAATACATTTTGAGGCTTACTGGTATATTAACCCATAGTTTTCATCCTGAATTCCTCAATAACTTTTTTTAAGTCAAGAGGAAAATCCCTTTCTTGTCTGGCATTTCACTTTAACAAAATGGTCAAGTGTTAGTCCTTCTAAAAAAAAGACAAAACCAAAACACTCCAATACAAATGCTGTTATTTCTACTATAGCTGGAGAGCACCACCTAGAGATGAGAAAAAAGTACAGAAAAATTCCTTGGCCATGCACACCATAATACTTCCTAAGATTTGTATGTGTAGCAATACTTTTCCAAAGTTTCTTCCATTACTAGGGATGTTAACAAAAAGTATAAACTTGAAAAAAAATTTTTGAATTAAAAATGCAAGCTGGATGAAATAAGACAAGAAAAAGCTGAATTAAAGTTAAATTGACTTCTTTATTGTAGGACTTCTCAGAATAACAATAGCCCAAATTCATTAAATGTTCACTCTATATGAGCTACCAGTTTGTTACTTTTACACACCTTACCTTATTTAGTCATCATAATCCTATGAAGTAGATACTATTATTACCCCCCAGTTTACACTTGAGAAAACTGGGGGATAGAAAAGTTAATTAATGTGCCCTAAGTCACACCACCAAAGTGCGGGTTAACCTGATTCAAATCCTGCTCTTAAACACTCCAGAGAAGATGACTGGCAGCCTATAGGCTGAATTCAAGACACAGATAAATTTTTAGTTTGTCCAATGCTGCCAACATTAACATATTGTGAGATTTTATATAAAAACTTGTGTATCCAGGTTCTCTTGGGATCATTTGGAAAATCTGGTAATAATGGTCCACAAGTCTACATGGCAACAATCAGCTTTAGCCCTTCCTAGAAGTAGCATGCATTGTCCAGTCTACCCAGTGTTCAAAGTAAGAATTCAGTTCTTACACTGTGCCCATTTCACTCATTGTTGTTACCAAGATGGGCCCTGCAAGCATTTAAATGCAATTCACCTCTCAATCCCCTACATAATGTAAGTCTTTTATACACAACTGCATACTGTCAATCTCTAAAAGTGGAGAGGAGATGCGGTGGCTTTTTCAAGATACTGAACACATTTTGAGGATGCTGATCTACACGTATTTATAATTATTGTAACTGTATAAAGAGTTGTGCTCTTTAGATAAATACAAAAGCATGAAGGAAATGGAAACTACTTACAAATATTAGTCCTGATATCAAAGAACATGTCCCTGTAAGTGCCACATAGAATTTGGACGTCAGTGAATTTAAAAATACTGTCACTGCCAAAAGGAAAAAAAAAAAAAATCAAAGTTTAAAAAAAATGCAAATTCAAAGTACTCAAGTTACAAATACGCAGGTGTCTTTACAAGTGGGGGAACATAAGTGGATTAATATCTAGTATGACATTCATTTGAGAAAGTTGTAATTTTTTAGAAGCTACTTTAACGTCCCATTGTATGCTACCCTCAAAAAAAAACTTGCTTTTCCGTGGCCAGGAGCTGGACTGGTGGAGTAGCTGGGCTGGTGGAGTAGCTGGGCTGGTTCGAGCAGGGAAAACAGCCCAAGGAGAATAGCAACAAACCGAGAGCTCAAAGTCTGGGTCAGACTCTTCAAATAAACTGTCTCATAAATACTTTGGATTTTAGACATAAAAATGCATAATACTTCACTAGTCTCATCTAAATGGTGTACCTGGTTAACAGGTAGGAAGATAAATGACACACTTTCACTGAGTGGAATAACCACCAGTGGGCACTTCATTAACCGGTTACAGAGACCGCCGCATTGGCTCCACCAAACCGGGTAGGAAGGCCCAGTTATTTAGCATGTTTTTGTGTTCGCTGTATCTGAATGTACATAATAACTATGTTCAAAAAAAAAAAATCAAAACCATTTCGGAGCATTATCCCAGCATTCCGTGCCATCTCATGGAACAGAAAGGGGGGCATTTAAACTGCAGTCGCGACCTAACAGAGCTGCTCCCACCCGGGCCGAGGCCGCCGTCCGGGCTGCAGGAACCTCCGCCCGGGCCACGTGGCGAGCTGTCCGCCGACGTGGCGAGGGCCCACCGCCGTGTGGGGCTCTCTCTCCCTTCACTACCTGCATTTCTCTAGTTTATTACCGAAGGTAAAACCCTAACAACGAACAGACAAAAAAAAAAAAATCTCACGAAAACTTTGTGCTGACAGAACTATTTAAAACACGAGGGCGGTTGGCCAGGATCCGGGGCCTCATACACTCGAGTAGAGGAGCGCTCGTCTTCGTGGGCTCGGCCGGGCACGGCCCGGGGGAGCGGCGGGCCGTCGGGCGGGCAGCTCGCAGGCCCGATTTTCCCGGGATCCTACCAATGGCGGGGGTTGTGTGTCTAAGTCCTGCATCCCGGTCTGCGAGGGCCCCGGTCGGTCCCGTCAGGTGGGGGGCTCCGCCCCGGGGAGACGCGGGCAGCGGGGAGGCGGACCTCGGGTCCGGGAGGAGCCGGTGGCCACGGCCCGGCGTTGACAGGCGGCGGCGGAGCGACGGCCCCAGAGAAAAGAAACCCACGGAGTCCCCGCGCGCCGCCGCCTCCTTCCCCGGAGCCCTCCAGGGACCACTGAACCTCTGCCCTTTGGCCTTTGACCCCCCCCAACACCCGCTTGGC